AATTTTTGTGCTTTCTCGAGGATGAAGATCACAGCAAGAAAGAAAGAGATCCCACACGACCATTTATCTCTAGGTTAATGATACCTATCAAAATAAATGCACCCAAAATCAGCATACATATCAACAAAAGAAGACGTAACTTCATTCCACTATGGGAGCAAAGTGAGGGGTACTGGACTATCACAGATTATTGCCATCTGAAAGAAGTTAGAGACTGTGTGTTTTTAGTACAGGTCATTTGCTGGAAAGATCTTTTTTGCTATCCTTTGGGGAATGTCATAGATATTCTCCCCAAAACTGGATATTGGGGTGACAGGCTTTGGCTGCAGAAAGAGGAATTTGGAGTGTCACCCACCCCGCCTGAAACTGATGGCCTCTCCTCAGAGGAAGAAGATACAACAGACAGACAGGATGAACGAAAGACAATCACTTTCACTGTTGATCCGGCAGTAGCCAAGGATTTGGATGATGCCATCAGCATCAGGGAGGATGGAGAATACTATGAGTTGGGAATCCATATTTCAGACGTGGCAAGTTTTGTGAAGCCAGGTGGTACATTAGATGAGATTGCAGGAGAACGTGGGTGTAGCTTCTATGGAAAAGGAGAAGAACCCACTCATATGTTCCCTAAAGAACAGAGCACTGAGCTTTTCAGTCTCCTGCCAGGTAGAGACCGCAGGGTGGTGTCACTTATGTTCAAAGTGCGAAAGGACACTGACATGGTCGAAGGAAAGCCCAGGTTTCAGCTGTCCCTGATCAACTCCAACAGGAAGCTATCTTATGAAGAGGCAGAGGACATCATCTCTCAGAGATATAGAGGGCCGCCCAGTTTCGGGGAAGTGGAAGACTGTGTCACGGTGGCCTATCGTTTTGCAAAAGCTCAAAGGAAAAGAAGACTTCCGGATTGGGCTTATTCACAGTGTGATGATGAAAGATTGCCTGGAAGACGCAAAGCCCATGTGATGATTGAAGAAATGAATGTGTTATTTAACAGACACGCATCAGAGACTCTGCTCCACTCACCACTCACCGAGAACCTCACTCCCCTCCGCTGTCAGGCCAAACCGGATGATGAGAAAGTTGAATATCTGAAGGAGAAGCTTGGAGAACTAATCCCGCTGTCTTTTCATGTGAGACACAAAGTTGATGTGGACCAACACACTCCAAGCATTCAGCATTTCCCCATACTTACCAACATGTGGGAGGAAATCCTGTCAGCTGCCAGAGCGGACGACATGGACAAAATGGTG